TTGGCTTTGAAAGCAAGACATGGAAAGCTATTTTGATGGCTTCCAGCCCAGTGTTGAGGCAGGGAAGTGTAGTATCTGTGGTTTCTGAGGTGTACAAATATCAGTGGACCAGCAAAGATTGGCCTTGTTTTGCTCTAACCTTGCCAGCAGCTCCAGTTAAACAGTGAAGTGCTATCTGTGGTCAAGACACGAAGCAGATAAGACATCAATTACTGATCCATTCTCTATTCTCAAATTGAATGTTTAATATAATACAGTGCCTAATTAAATATGCGCTAATTTGCATCCATCTTCTTGTAATACAAAATATTTGTCTTAATTTACTGTGATTAATCAAATGGGAAAGTATGGTGATATCTATTATTTCAGAAGATAAACCAAACAATGCGTATTATTCTAAATGTTCATGACAGCAAACTTGGCTTTGAAAGCAAGACATGGAAAGCTATTTTGATGGCTTCCAGCCCAGTGTTGAGGCAGGGAAGTGTAGTATCTGTGGTTTCTGAGGTGTACAATATCAGTGGACCAGCAAAGATTGGCCTTGTTTTGCTCTAACCTTGCCAGCAGCTCCAGTTAAACAGTGAAGTGCTATCTGTGGTCAAGACACGAAGCAGATAAGACATCAATTACTGATCCATTCTCTATTCTCAAATTGAATGTTTAAACATGCAAATTATACAGTGCCTAATTAAATATGCGCTAATTTGCATCCATTTGCATCCATCTTCTTGTAATACAAAATATTTGTCTTAATTTACTGTGATTAATCAAATGGGAAAGTATGGTGATATCTATTATTTTAGTCTATTCACATTTAATGTCTTGTCATATGAATGAACGTTCGTTCATTTGTTTATTCAAGCTAATTGATAACCTCTTCTTTCAATGTACTGAAACAAGCAGCATGAATATCATGCAAGAAGACACAAGAAGAGAAAAAATTAGGGATATAGAAAGAAAATAACGACAACTTTTAATACAATTTCCACTGTCTAGTTTTTAAAATACTTTAGCTGCCTATAATCAAGCAAAGAGTCAATGAAGCAAGGATGGCATTAATGATTATGTAAGTTCACTGTTCTTGGTTTATCAGTCATTTTCTCCTCCGACAATGTCAGCCGGTCCTTCTGTCTCAGCAGACGGGACACATGAGCTCCAGCACAAAGGCATAATGTCTGGCTGCTTATCATGTCTCTGGAGTCGGTCCTCTGGCCACAGTCTCTCAATGGAGATGTTTGACTATATGATCTAAATTCATTTGCAAATGTGCCCTTTCCATTCAGCAGTCCTATTGACTAAAGACAGACTCTGTTCAGTGTGCAGAGGTGGGCCGTATGATCAAAACTTTATATCAGGATGCGACGTAATTCATATCATGGCAAATGTATATATAAATATTGTTATAGAATGTAAATACTGTTTTTTTTTTTTTTACTTTTTTTAAAAGAAATTAATACTTGAGCAAAAGTAAAGACATTTAAAATGTAACAAAATACTTCTATTCAAATAAATACTGTTCTCATAGAGTCAATGAAGCAAGGATGGCATTAATGATTATGTAAGTTCACTGTTCTTGGTTTATCAGTCATTTTCTCCTCCGACAATGTCAGCCGGTCCTTCTGTCTCAGCAGACGGGACACATGAGCTCCAGCACAAAGGCATAATGTCTGGCTGCTTATCATGTCTCTGGAGTCGGTCCTCTGGCCACAGTCTCTCAATGGAGATGTTTGACTATATGATAGGCATCTAAATTCATTTGCAAATGTGCCCTTTCCATTCAGCAGTCCTATTGACTAAAGACAGACTCTGTTCAATGTGCAGAGGTGGGCCGTATGATCAAAACTTTACATCAGGATGCGACGTAATTCATATCATGGCAAATGTATATATAAATATTGTTATAGAATGTAAATACTGTTTTTTTTTTTTTTTACTTTTTTTAAAAGAAATTAATACTTGAGCAAAAGTAAAGACATTTAAAATGTAACAAAATACTTCTATTCAAATAAATACTGTTCTCATTCATCAAAGAATCCTGAAAAAACAAGCTTCCTGAGCGGCAAATCAGCATATTAGAATGATTTCTGAAAGACACTGAAGACCGGAGTCATGCTGCTGAAAATTCAGCTTTGCATCACAGGAAATTACACTTTAAAACATATTCAAATAGAAAACTGTTATTTTAAATTGTAATAATATTTCACAATATTACTGTTTTTACCATATTTTTTATCAAATAAATGCAGCCTCTGTGAGCATAAAAGACTTATTTCAAAAACATAAAAAATCTTACTGACCCCACACCTTTGAATGCTATGTTTATGTAGGCATCTCATAAAGGGGTATAACATGCTGCCAGGTGATGCCAGGGGCAGTTAGAGGGGTTTTGGGGTCTCGCCTCTTGACCAGAGATTTGGATTAGTTTACACCCCTCTTAAAGGTGGCAGCCAAGAGCCTCCGATTTCTGCCTGCCCTATTTAAGGCAGAGGGTGGTAGTCTTTATAGCCTTTATAGCCTGTCATCTCAAATGGCTTCAATGGAGAACAGAGTAGAATTTAAATGTGTGCTAAACTGATTGGAGCTCCTAAAATTAGACCCCAGGGATATTAAAAAATAACACAACGATACGCTCTCGACTGTTTTTAAAGTATTTTTTGGATTGCAGTAATCAAAACATACTCTTGTCGAACAGATAACATAAATACATGGGTGTTTTCTAAGACAAAATAATTTATAGTTGTAGCCGTTTTGGACATTGTGACTGGACAGGATTGGTCTGACTGTCTCCTCACAGAATGAATTGCACAATTCTCAGCCAATGCCTGGAATATTTCACCAAATGCCACTGGAAACAGACGAGGGAAAGGGAGTCTTGTGACGCAGGGTGGTGTGGAGTGACTGTGGTCAAATGACCACAGGGAAACTGGGCTCTGTGGGATGTTTTCTATTCAGTATTGGGATCGTGCCAGCCTGCAGACCACCTCCAGACTGCCCACAGTCATTTCTGATGCATACCACACACAAAACAATGACAAAATCTGATTAAAATCGCCATTTGTGGTCTGATTTACTGGTGCTGGTGAACAGATTATACTGCTCTCCAAGCATACTATATGTAACCACTGCAGCACTGAACATGATTTCTTAAATAAATAATAATAATACATGATCAGATTTTCAGATGAAATGTATGTGACGTTAATATACAATTTAGGGTCAGTAAGATTTTTTTTCATGTTTTTGATGTCATTTGATCAAAATACAGTGAAAACAGTAATATTGTGAAATATTATTACAATTTAAAATAACTATTTTCTAATTAAATATATTTTAAATGTGATTTATTCCTGTGATGCAAAGCTGAATTTTCAGCATCATTACTTCAGTCTTCAGTGTCACATGATCCTTCAGAAATCATTCTAATATGCTGAGTTGCTGCTCAAGAAACATTTCCTATTATTATCAGTGTTAAAAACAGTTGTGCTGCTTAATATTTTTGTGGAAACCATGATACACAACCATTCAAAGGTTTGGGGAAAGAAAGAAAAAGAAATGAATACTTTTATTCAGCAAGGACACATTAAATTGATTAAAGTGAGTGCAAGGGCAATTATATTTCATTAAAAAAATTATAGAGAGGCTTGTTTTGTTTTATTTTGCTTGTCTCCACACAAATGTTAAATAGCAAAAACTGTTTCCAAGATTGATAATAATAATAAGAACCATTAATAATAAGTTAGCACCAATTTTTTTCAAATTTGTATAACTTTTATATGAATCAGTGAATAAAATTGCAGTACTGAGTGCAATTTCTTCAGACATTACAAATGACTAGTATATTCTCCGAGCGACTGAATCTTGCACAAAAAGGTAAAAAGGTATATAAACTAAAACATATACTGTACTTCCAAACCTCGACAGAATTGCATACATATCCTCCTTGCATTCCTCGCTCTGACATTCTCTCTCCAGAGAGCTGACCCACCAAATGAAGATGTCTCAAAAAAGGACAACAAATCACATGTCTGAGGACCAGAAGCACACCACAACTTAAAATAAGGAGGCTCGCAGCTTAGACCACAAGGTTGTGAGGACAATTCCAGTGACACGGCGGTGTGTGTGTGTGTGTGTTAACTTGACTCGACCTCTGTGATCAGCACTACAAACTCATCTGATTAAATCAGTCTCTGTCGCACGCACTGATTATCAGAGACGTGTACACAAACAGCTCTGTCACAAAATTCCAATGAATGCTGATGATTTGATGTCGGACCGACGGATGACCCGAACACAAACTCTACAGTATGTGAACTCTGAGTGGCCATCATTAGTTAATAAAAGAATAATCGAAGCTAGTGAGCTGCCTTGATGTCTACAGACTATACAGGCAGATGTTTTTTGTGATATCACAAATCCCGGAAAATATGCGTTGCAGTCCAAACGAGTCGTTCATTGTAGTTTTTGAAAAGTGATTTCTGTTAAATAAAATATCTTCTTTTGAAGTGGACTTTGAGCTTTGTAACTTTGCAGAACTTTTTTATGCTCAAACAGCAACATTACAGACAGTAATTGAAGTTGAAAAAGTGAAAAAGCATAATAGGACCCCTTTAAGGAAGCATCCAAATAATGCTGATTTAAAAAAGACTTGTGTAAATAAATAGTAAAAATGATTTCTAATAAATAAATGAATAAATACTGCAAATAATTTTTTTTAAATAATGTATTAATTTGTAATAAATAAATATTCAAATAAATAATTTATGTATCTATGTAAAATATCTTAATTAAAATAAATACATACCTACATACATACATACTGTTTTAAGTAACTTACAATTGAAACAAATAAAATAAAATAAAATGTAGAGGATTTACAAGCAGAAATGTGAAACTAGTATTTTTGTAGTTGTCTGAAGCGAAAATAGAACTGTTTTAAAACTTTTGGGAAAGTCTAATAATTTCCAGTCATTTGTTGATAATGAGACTACAGCTTCACTCACCCTCCACTGAATCTTCACAGCGCTCGTTGAAGTTCTCGTAAGAATCCCAGCGAATCAGAGGATCTTGGGTATTGTAGTCCACAGAAACACTGGGCCCGTTCTCAAGGTGGTCCGTTCCTATGACAGAGCATCCAGACTCAGAAGCTGCTAGGCTCAGTTTACGTCCTATTTCCCAATATTTCTGTGATTTATTTAATAGCTGAACATGAATGACGATAAATAGAGTTCTTACCTTGGATTTTTTCTGGGCCGAAAGAAAAGACAAATTCCACTTTTCCGTATTCAGGAAATCTGTCATCTGAAAAAAGAAATGGACTGATCAAGCCAGTGTCACCAATACAGCTGATTTAATTCAAACAAAAGAAAACATGAAACCAACCAAACATAGTCTGAGATGTCACAGCATAGCCAAAAGTATGACTATACAAGGCAAATCCAGCATACCTTTAAATGTTTCATCAAGCTCATCTTTGCCGAAGATGATGCCCAGATCATGAACAGCACAGGTGTGAAACTGCACTCTGAAGATGACATCACGGGACGGGCTGCGGAAGCGTTTGTGATAACACTTGAGCTGTGGAGGACATGAGAAACCACATTACAGCAACAGGTGAAACACACACAGACCTGAAATGGTAAAAGAAATCATGCACTATTACGAACCGAAAATATGCTGGATTTCAGCCAGGCAGAACAAGGTCATACAAGCAAACACTTGAAGCATTACAGTTATAAACAACCATAAATGTTCAGGTTAAACACAAGTTAAGTTTGATTAATAATAATGTTGATTACCACTAAAAAATAATTTTGACATTTGCAAATTAATAAATGATTATTATTATTAACAAATAATAGTTATAAATCAATCAAATACATATATACATATTTATTAAACAATTAAATAACAAAAACAATAATAATAATCAAATAATTTATTATTATTAACAAATAATGGTTATAAATAAATAAATAAACAAACAGAAAACAGATTTGTTTTGTTGTGTTATTTATAAATAATAAATAAATAAATACACTAACTTTCGTACAAATGTAGCAACACTTTCAAAGATTTACGAACAGAAATGTGCAAGTGATTTTTTTTTGTTATTTATAAGTTAATAATACTGTTTACTACTTTTCTAAAAGGATGAATTTCTGGTTTGCATTGCCAGTGTAATTCCTGTGAGTGGAGATTGCTTCACTTAAACTTGTAACCACGATTTCTGCTTCTTTGTTTTCAGCTGAGGGATGAGTTGAAATGACTTTCTGTCAGTAGATCTTAACTTGTATTGAACCCAGAACATTTCTTTAAGAGCAAGGCAAATCCTTCAAATGTAATCTCGCATCAACACACGCACATTCAGCACAGAAAGTTCTATTCATGAGCTTGGAACAGATTGTTTGAGTGGTTTTGGATGCTGGTCGCCTCGTCTTCCCATGGTGCAGCAGAGCCAGAGATATCAGTATAGTGAAAGTATGTAAAACAACAGAACCTCTCCAAAACCCAGACAAGGACATAAAAATGTCCTCACTGGCCACTGAGGAAACTGTAGCCCTCTTTCTTTTGCCCAAAATAACTATAATTAACCTGCTTAACTTGGGGCAGATGGACATAAAATTTACAGCTTTCAAGTTCAGAGAGTGAAACAAAACAAACATGACTGAATTGAGCAAGATGGGGACTGGCAGAGCATCCTGCGGTTTTCCCAAAATGCAGCAGAGGCTCAGCCGCACACATGGGGGAGTCCGCCTCGGAAAAACGTATCTCAGCAAGTTACAATTAACAAAATGAAGCTTATAAAAACCAAGCATTTATCTAAGACTATAAAATAAAATGCAATAAAATAATGACGGAGATTAAACAAAGGGAATGCATAGAGTGCCACATATTGAGAAATTCATGTTAATTTTAAAATTCTAATTTAATTCCAAACCTTTTTCGCCCAAATTATACTTGTAATTGAATTTTTAATGAAAATAAATGCAAAATAGAAGCATTTTCAGTTGTTATCTCAAACTTTTGGACCCCTTTGCGAAGCTTTTTTAGTGTTAACCGTATATTGATCTACAAAATGCTTTGGCCGAAGTGCAATAATATTTTGTGGTTTGTATTCGGGTTAGAGTCCTCTATAGATCAGCTCTGATTGATTTTGCTTACTAAGGACTTCTGAAATCGAGCCCATCAGAGAAAGAGCCCCTCTACAAGCGCAGCATTATGGCAGATGATAAAGCACTCTGCTCTTTTTGGCTTTCTCTTCCAAAAAGCTTTCTGAAGTAAAATGTAAATAAATCCATGCAGAGAAAAATGGCTCTCATCAGGAATGAACGTCTGATGGATGTCCCTCTAGACAGCCTGCTTTATTATTGGTGTGTTGCGCTGAGAAATGCCTATAAATGGAGGAAGAACTTGTGCCAAGCTGCTTTCCTTCAGTTTCAATGTGACAATTTCACAACAATTAAGCAATTTTCCAAATTGTTTTACTTTTGAATTTTTGTGGGGATTTCTATTATTCACATTAATGATGATTTTCATTATTGTAACAAATAATGGTTACATGGGGGGGGGGCAAGGAAAAAAAATATATTTTTTGACGCACCAAAGCAGTCAATCCAACACAGTCAAGAATAACTTAGTAAACTGTGGCCACCGTTTAGTAAACTGTGGACTTGATTTGACTCTTTCTGTTGACTTGAATGGCGATGCTTCCTGTTTGTCAGTTGATGGCCTTTCATTTTTAACCAGAAATGTGCACGCTGCTTTTCTGATGTTCACTGAAGTTTTCTGTCTTTTTCCCATGTCACTTGAAATGTTTCCTTTTTGAATCATTGTTACCAAAGGAAAAAAATAAGTAGCGGGACTATATTCTGTCATAAATCGCATACCATTAATTGCTGAACTTTCTACTGTCCGTTACTGGAAATGAAATGAAATTACGGGTTGATATGTCCCTGAGTATGTATCAGTCTTTGCTTTCATCTTTCTCTGCTGAAGTCCATACTGCCAAATCTTCATACTTCCACAACAAGATCAACAGCGCTCCAGACACACGTAATCTCTTCAAAACTGTCAATTCTCTCCTCTGTCCCCCTCCCCCACCTCCCACCACTTCTATCACAGCTGATGATTTTGCCACATTCTTCACAGACAAAACCAGAACAATCAGTAGTCAATTCTCAGCCCCCCACACACAGGACTTCAAATCAACCACACCCACTACTAAAACTCCCATCTTCTCCTTCTGTCCCCTCACTGAGGCAGAAGTATCAAAACTTCTCCTCTCCAGCCATCCTACAACATGCCCTTTGGACCCAATCCCCTCACACCTTCTCCAAGCAATCTCTCCTACACCTTTACCACCACTCACACATATCATCAACACATCTCTCCTCACAGGCACTTTCCCCACTGCATTCAAGCAGGCT